AGCTTGTGTGGGATTTACCTTTAAGTGCTTTATTTTCTGACCTAATGAGTGTTGAGTCCAGATTTTAAATCAAGCTGCAAGTCCTCACCTGGTTCAAGTGTGGAGAGGAGAGATGCGATGGGTGGAGAATGGGAAATGAGACCCAAAATTTCCATCAGCATTCAACACAGACTTGTCAATTCATTTCATATTCCTCATTAATCGTTCAGATTGATTTATTGACATCATAAATTTAAAGTGTAACTGAAATTAACTCAAGTCCTGCTCCAATTGCTCCTTAGTAGTGCCACACTTTAGCTTGGAGGTCTGTATGGAACTAGGCAGTGATAGATTATGGAAAACCTAATAAAAAGCCTATGACTGTTTTTGACTCTGCCTCTGCTAGCTGAGTACACTTCTTTACTTTCTGCATTTTGAGCTTTCTTGTTGCTTCTGTATATTCAAAAGACTTCAATGATTCCAGCAGATGTGAGGCATTTGGGAGTTTTATATAAAGCCACTGGATCTATGTGGTCTTAACTATACTAGTTCAACTCCAGTTGAAAAAAGTCCTAATCCCAATTAGTGAGCAAGGAAATGTGAACTTCAACCACAAAACAAGATAAAAACTGGTCAAGCTACTAGCCTGAAACCTTAGCCCTTATGATAACAACAACAAATAGCTTTAGCCTCTAGGGTGGAGAAGGGAATTGGTTTCAAAATGCATTCTCCAGGATCTCAGTGATTAGGTCTAAGTTTGTCTGTTCCTTGTACTGCATGCATTTTCTCTGTAAAACTGGATGGTGCCTCTTGAATCAGTGTGTATTTATTTTGTGCATATTAGGACCAACAGCCTAATATCTGGGGGTGGTAAAGGACTTGTAGCACTTTAATGTAGTAGCTTTCATAAATTGGAAATCATTGATAGAATGCCTAGTGTTTTTAAAGTTGAATGGACTTCCTTTTATAATATATTTAAAATAAATTTTTAATGTGTTTTCTGAAATCTGTGTGCGCAGACGTGACTGTCCCTGCCTGTTTTGCTCCAGTGATGTGTTTCTCTTCTCTCTGTTTATAAGCTCAGTTATCCCTGGTCGGGTGTTTCCCCAGCACAGGCTTCCTGCTGTGCCACACACTGGTGTCCTCCAGCCCCCTTGGGAAACGTCCTTCCTGGCTGCCCTTTGCATTGGGAATAGAGCACAGGATTTGCTGTGTGTACACACGAACAGCCAAGGAGCTCATGCCCGAGTGCTGTGTTGGGTGTACAAGGAGGCTCAGGCAGCCGGGGCAGCTCTATGTCTGCCTCTCACAGCTGCTTCCCAGCAGCTCTGAAACCGATGGGAACAATCCATCATGTCCCAGAACTACAGCCCAGCAGGGGATCCTGCAGCACCTCAGCTCAGAGCTGAAGGAAGAGCAAGTGGCAGCCACGAGAGGAGGAGACATGAGGAGAAATATAAGATGTGGACAAAGCTGGAGTGGACAAAGCTAGAGGAGACGTGGAGGAGACGTGTTCCTGCAAGTAGGTGCCCAGGGGTACTGTCCTGGATGGACCATGGCTGTGGTGGATGATTTGTGCCCAGGTAGAACCTGTACCCCTGAGGGATAATTGCCATGAACAGTACTTGGTAGAGCACACTGGGAAGCACAGAGGAGTGGAGAAAACCCAGCTGTCATTGTCCTTTCTGTGCCTGTCTGCCTTGGGAGTGACTGCTGGGAGATCCATCCCACACCTTGGTTTGCAGGGCTTTAACAGCTCAGGGCCCTGTTTGTGTTCTGATCTCCATGTGGGGAGAGCGGGCTTGGCCCAAGACAAGGGAAGTTTCTCAGCATTGCTCATGTTCCCACTAGGACCCTCAGTGCTTTCTACTGTCACCACTTCAGTTCTTCAGCAGCCTTCTCAGCACTCCTTTTTACTTAACTCCTTTGGGTGAAAAACAGTGGAAAAAACGGATGGGAGACAAGCAATGAAATGTGTGAAGATCTACGTGTGGGGAAAATGAGCCTGTGTGAGAGAAAGGAAAGGCTCTTTCTGGGGGGGCCAGCAGATAACTGCAAGGTTAACTGTTTCCCCCGGGAAGGCTGTGCTGTGATTCTTGGCCATGGGAACATTGCCCAGGGTGAGTATGTGCCAAAAACTGTGACAGTTTAAGCATTTTAGCAGGTTCAATATGTGCCACCCTAGAAAAGTGCTGAGGAGAGTGGGAGTCCAGGGAAAGGTGCCAGGGCAGTGCTTCCATTGGCCCTCAAGGTGCCGAGAAAGGAAACGGTCTGATTTCTGACTGGGAGTACAAAAAAATTTTAAAAAGGCAGCTTCCCAGGACATCTCCAGCAGCACAGACCGTTTGGAGAGAAGCATTTCTGTCCCAAGCTCCCCAAATGGCTCCATTAAAACAGTAAGTTCCACATGACAGCTACAGCACGGACTTATCTTTAGAGAGTAGTGCTGCTCCAGGTGAGATTTACAGGCTAGTGCAGGTTCCCCTAATTTGATTAGAGGGTGACTGGGATGGGCAGGCCATTACCGCTTCAGAGGCACTAAAGCTGCCTGGGTGCTGATGGGTTTATGAAACATTGTTTCTCACTTCATTGCAGCTCCCACAAAGAATTATTGGATCAGGTTAGTGATAGATACCCAATAAAGAATGTCTCTATGAGGCAGTTTATTTCACAGCAAGCTTGTTCCGGACTAGCAGACTGTGAAATCTGGAGGTTCCCATGAGGATAAATACGCTGAAATAAACTGCAATTAGAAAAACACCTCCATGCACTTCTTTTTTTTTATTTTGAAAGACTGTAAAAAGGTGTCATTTGTGTTAGCCTGAGAAGGGAGGTAATTAACACTGAATTAGCAAAGAGACAAAACCAGGGTTTTTCCTTCTACTGGGCATTGCAAAACGACTTAAAGTCTTTTTATTTGCAGGGATGAGAGGTTGCAGCCCAAGAAGAAATACAATCTGATGGTCAGTACCAACCTGTTCTGGCACTTATGGTGCCTGTTTCTCCAGCCATTCCTGATTGCCACAGAATAGTCCAGGGACCACCTGCAGAATCTTGTCCCCATGGGGATAGGAGGAAGTCCTACCTGTTATGGTCATGTTCCCTTTTATCTCATGTGCTCCTATTATCACCTGTCCCTACAGTCTGTGTTTACAGCTGAGTGTCAAGATAGTCCTTCTGCAAGATTTCCTCAGCCTGCCATTTGATCTTTATTGGTAATGTTAAGATAAACCAGGAAAGCTTGGTATCAGGAGGTCCAAGATCACTCTCAGCCTTTTGTGTTTACTCTTTCCCCAAAACAAGGGAATATCTATCTGGTTTTGCCAGGAGGGTATTAATTCAGGCAGGCAGATCCCAAGCAGTTTGGCCTGGGGCTTTTATAAGCAGTGGCGTTTTGCTTATTTAAATCTCTTTGCTCTTCACTAACTGCTTGTTGGTCTGTGGGTAAATTCATTTGTTTTCATCAGCTTCCCATGAGAACTGCCGGCTCCTGGGAGCCTGTCCCCAGGAGGGTGCACTGTGGTTCCCTACCAGTCACATGGACAAACAGAAATTACCAGTTGCCTGAGGGCACCAGCAGTAAAAGCAAAGACAAGAGGCAGAACTGTTGAGGAGTATTAAGTCCCTCCCCTCCACATTTATTCTGAGACATGTTTGGCAGTGTAAAGAATGCCTAGAAAATACAGATTTTGGCTTTTCTCAATTGTCTTGTGCAGAGCAGGCAGAACAGGTTGCAAGGTGCCTGTCAGCGTTACTGCCTGAGCAGATGACCAAGAGCTTTAAGGAGTCTTTCTTGCAAAGGTATTTCGTGTGTGTGATTCAGCACAGTTCACCCAGGTGTTCACACACATTGTTCCACGTGCAGGATTTCAAACTCTGAAGTAATTTTAGTCTATAGAACCTTTTTTCTGCTTGTGTAGAAAGTCTTTTCTTGAGGAGGATGAAATCCTTTTCCCTTTAGAGCTGCTCACGCACCTCTGACAATGGGATTTGCTGTCTGGTATTACAGAGGTTGTGGTGTTTCCAGAAGGTACATCTTTTCTTCATAGATCAGTAGGAATTTCATTCCTCTCCCCACCACCACTTCTCCTCCCCCTTTCTTCCCCCTTTTTTACTTTTTTGGGTTTGTGGGATTTTTTGGGGTTTTTTTCCTGCAGATGAAAGATATGTGAAGCTTAAAGTCACATTGCTTTGGGAAGCTCTTTTCCAGGTCCCATCCTCTCACTATCCCTGCCTTGTAATCGGGGGGAGGAGGGGGAAGAAGGGAAAACATACATTTCTTATAATATATAATCTTGTAATATAAAAAAATTATATTTCAGCCAGGAACTCTTGCCTACATGACGCTGTATCCAAGAACAGGCATTTGCGGCTGTGCCGACCTGAGCTGTGTCCCAGGGCCGCAGGTTCAAGTGTGTCACAGGTTCGGCTGTTCCAGGAGCGGTGCCGGCTCAGCCCCGGCCGGCTGGAGGAACCCGCGGTCCCGTGGCTGGGCGCGGGGGTCCTGTGCGGTTCTGCGGAGCAGGGGACGCCCGAATGCTGGCGGGGCCGGGACGCTTCCCTTCTCGTCCCGCAGGGCCCAGTCGGCCCGGCGAGAGCCGGCGGGAGCCACCGGGTCCCCCCAGGGCCGGGGGGGCCGGACCCGGACCCACCGCTCCCTCCGCGCCCCTCACGGCGACCTTCCGGCCGCGGGGGCGGGGCGGTGGCGGCTGACGGGCAGCTCCTCCGCCCAATGGGCGCGCGGAGCGGCGCGGGGCGCCCCGCCCCTTTGTGCGCCCCGCCCAATGGGAGCGGAGCCTGCGAGCCGGGGGGCGGGACTTCCGCGGCCGGGGAGGCGGTTTTGTGTGTGCGGGCGCTGCGCGGTCCCGGCTCCCCGCGGGCGGCGGCGCTTGGGGGGCCCGGCCCGGCCCCGCGGGCAGCGCTGAGCGCCGGCGGCCCAGGGGGGTCCCCTCCCCTGCCGCGGCTGGGGGGCCCCCGCGGGGGCGGCGGGGTCCCCCCGAGGGCGCGGCGGTGACGGCGCGGCTCGTCACCCCCCTCTCCCCGGTTGTCGGCTCCCCGCGCGGGGTGAGGGGCGGGCAGGTGGGCGATGAATGGGTTCAGCACCGAGGAGGACAGCCGGGATGGGCCGCCCGCCGCCCCCTTTTACGGCCAGAGCTGCTGCCTCATCGACGACGGGGACCGCTGCGTGCGCCCCGCCGGCAACGCGTCCTTCAGCAAGAGGATCCAGAAGAGCATCTCGCAGAAGAAGCTGAAGCTGGACATCGACAAAAGTGTGAGTGAGTGCGGCCTCTCGCCGGGGCCGCCGAGCCCCCCGGAGGGGCGGCCGGGCCGGCCCCAGCCGCCACCGCACTGCGGAGCCTCCGGGGAGCGGCGGATCCGCCCGGCGAGTTGGGCTCCGGCTGCCCGGGGGGGTTCGGTGCTGCCCCTCGGGGAGATGGGGCGAGGTGCGGGGCTGTGAGCGGCCAACACGGCCAACACGGCCAAACGGGACCGCGTTTTCCCCATCCAGCGCTCGGGAAAGGGAAGGGAAGGACGTGCCTGGATGCGGAACCGGCTTTTCCCCCGCTACAGACGCGGCTTTTCCCCGTGGCACGGCGGGTCTCGTGATGCGTGAAACACAAAACACCGTGTTTGGGAGGCGGGCGATGCTGAGCGAGCTGCCCGTGCTCCGGAGGCAGGGACGCTGTTTCCATTGCGGTTTCGGGTTGGAAACGCTGGCGCTTGTCAGGTGAAAACAGCGCTCGGTGCTTCAGCGAGGCGTCGCTGACGCTGCTGCTTTAATTGGTAGGAATTGGTGCTGTAGCGAAGCAGGTTAAAAGATGAGCTGGCGGCGAGATGTGATGCCGCCTCAGCAGGGCTTGTTCGCACACCAAACAGCCCAGTTTGGTGCTTAGTGACATCAAGTGACGGCTGTCAGCTCTAGAGAGAAGCGGGTCGTTCACCCAGCAGAGAAATAGGTAGAGCAGAGCAGCCCGAAGGAATTTCTCAGAAGTGACTCGCTTAACGGAATCCGGCTCTCCACGCTTTTCTTACCAGATCTTTAAAGATTAAAACCGCTGAAAACAAAGGGAAAAAAAAAAAAAAGCTGAAGTTTTGAGTCAGTCTGTTTGGCAGCTCCCCCGGTTGATTGGGTCCCTTCTGCACAGCTGAATCGCATCGTGTCACGGAAAGAGAGTGACTCAATTTGAAACATATTTTTAAAAAATGGAGTATTTCTCCTCGCTGTAGTCCTCAGCAGATTGGCCTAGTGGCATAGTAATTTCTTGCATTTCAGAAATGAGTCTTTGTTGACAGATGTAAGGCTTTAGAAAACAAAAAGGGGAGATCAGACTAATGAACTCAGAACAAAGGGAAAGTGTGAAGCGAGGCTGCATGGAGAGATTTCAAATGTAGGTTGCCTGTGTCATCTGAAGATATTTTAACCTTACAGATACCAGATGATTTTGATCACTTGAGGTCCTTTGTTTTGCTAACTCTAGTGAGATAATATTTGTTAAAAGGGATGTTCCATGGCTGAACAAGCAGTAGGAAAGAGATAGCTCTGCTTTTGGGTTTTTTATTCTATTTGAGGTAATTAACCAACTTTTATTTGGTCAAGGTGTTGAAACACTTGCATTAATAATCTTCTGTACTATTCAAGCCAAAAAGTTCACAAGAGTGGAACAGATTAATATTTTTCTTAGTAGTTAGCTGATGGTAAGTCCTGAAGCAAATGCACTTCCTCCAGACAAGGACCTGTTTTTTTCTGACATACGATTGCAACCATAAAAAAAAAATGTATTATCTGCAGAGGTTCAGGTTCAGGTGGAGCTCGAGTCCTTAATTTTCTTTGCCTTTAGTCTTTGTAATGTAAATTATTTGTAACTCAAGAGCCTGATATCAGGCCTGGGGTTTAAGATTAGAAATTCCTTAAGGCAGTCAGTCACACCAGTCCTGGGGATGGACTCTGATACTGGTGTCTAAATGGCTGCTGTTGGATGCTGTTTCACAGAACCTGTTTTGATTGCTCTTTCTGTTCTTAGGTGAGACATCTGTATATTTGTGATTTTCACAAGAACTTCATTCAAAGTGTGCGAAACAAAAGGAAGAGGAAGACGAGCGATGACGGAGGTGACTCTCCTGAGCATGACACGGATGTTCCAGAGGTTTGTGGGCTGCTTTACCAATTCTGAGCATGCTGAAGTTTCACTTGGATGGTTTCATGTATCGGAAAATATTTACATTTTAAATTGCAACTCCACTGAAGCTGCTGTAGAGTTACTCTCACTTTCCAGGAGGACTCTTTTCTCATGTGTAATGTCCTAATTTTCTTCTTCCTTCCTGTATGAGTTCTTTGCCCATGTAAAGTTTTCTATAAAAGGACGTGTGATAAGGTAACTGTACAGCTTCATGTATGTACAGTTAAAGCTGTATTTGGTCCTAATTCTTTTTTAAAGGTAAAAATAACTTATTTTTGGTGGTGTCTGAGTCTCCAATATTATTCTTTGTTCCTTATTATGCATCATTCTCCAAATACACTAGAGAATTCAATAGGTCACTCTCTTTGATTGGGTATTTGATATCCAGGGATATTGACCTTCTCCAGACTTTTGCATATATGGTATTTTTTGGGACTATTTAAAACTACCTCTAAATAGTTTGTAACACCTTTTTATTTTCAGGAAATAGGCCTGGAGGAGGTTTTCTGTGATACAGAACTCTAGAATAATCCCTTCTCTGTGCCACTATGTGCTGTATTTGCCTCAGTGATGTTCCGGGTACTGTAGAAACCACAAAAAGTTGCGCAGAGGTGATAATCGGGAGAAGCAGAGCTGTGGCCACGTCAGCAGAGCCCTCTGCTGGAAATGCCAACCCTGTTGGCAAAGAGCCTTTTATTTCTGGGGAGGGGGGGAGGGAGAAAGCCACCAGGAGTCATTTTGCCAGCAAAGCTGTGCCTTGGTGCAAAGCTGTACGCACACGTTTCCTTTGTGGAGGTGTTGAAATCGAGTAGCAAGTTTTTGGTATGGTGGTTTTTTTAAGGATACCTGACCTTTTGTTGTCACTGTTGATGTTTCCATTCAAGGTTCTCCATCAAAACTTTCCTATTCAGGCTTTGCTGTAGTTGCCAGGGTGATTGATGAGGACCCAGCGGGCATCTAAAAATGGTGCTGTAGAGCACAGAGGGTATTTGGTGGCTTAAACCTGAGGGATGCACATCACCCAGCAGAGTTCAAACAGGGAACTCTGCACCATGTCAGTTTTAATGTATTTTTCCTCTTGTTTTTCAGCACAGATTCCTTTTGTCTTTGAAACTTGGCATTTTCCACATGATCTTCATCTTTCTTCCTGTAACCTCCCTACCACCCCCTTTGGTTTTAAACTGTGCACTTCCCATTTAAGTATTTGAATTTCATTTCATCTCTGTGCTCTGTTTTATGTCACAAGCCATTTGTTCAATGCCTGCTAAATTGATATTTCATGTGTGAGCTTTTTAAACCTTGTGGGAACAAAAGGTTCCCCTTTGCTTGGAGGTTGCAGAGGTGTAATTGAGAGCAGAAATTGGCCAGCAATTCTGTTGACAGCATGTGAACCAGAACAAAATTTTCTATTTCCCTGAGGCTATTTTGGTCCTTTAGCATTAACAAATACAAAATATACTGAGGTTTATCAGTAAAGCAAACCAGTGTGGTTCTGAATGCAGGCAAAGAGCAGTCCTGTTGAGGAAGTAGTTATTTTTAGATAAAATAACTACTCATAGAAACTAAAGGTAGTGCTCATCCCCTTTTCTCTGCATCACTTGCAGGTTGACTTGTTCCAGCTCCAAGTGAACACCCTGAGACGTTACAAGAGGCATTATAAGTTGCAGACTAGGCCTGGACTCAACAAGGCTCAGCTTGCAGAAGTAAGTGATGACAGAGGTAGCGTTATCTCTGTTATTAAAAAACTTCTTATCTCCTCTTTTCAAGTGCATGTTTTGTGGACGCTCATACCTGTGCGACTCACTGGTATGTACCGAGTGCTCTGCGAAGGGTTTCAGGGGATGATGCCAACAGAAAGCTGCTTTCACCTGGGACAGGCATGGAAGGCATGGAAGCTGGCTCTTGACAGCATGTTTTAGTAACTTGGCTTGTCTCTGCTTCCTTTCCTGCCTTGTTTATAGTCATAATCAGTGACCTTTAGGGAGCAGGAACAGAACCCGTTTTCTGTGACCTGGGTGTGATCTGGAGATGGCTGTTTGACTGAAACTCAGACTTATACACTACTGGTCTCCCTAAGTGCCCCTGTTAGTTTTTCTTTCCTCACAGGCACTTGAACTGGTTGGAATTGCTTATTATTAAAGGCAGAATCATTGACCGTGACTTCAGGTTCCTTATTTCCCTCCCTTGTCCTGATTATTCTGTATTAAGTCAATAAAAGACTTTTTCCTTAAGGGCCTCTGCTGCTGCTTTCTCACCATATGGGTACTTGTACAGAAAGAACTCTCTGTATCTCTCTGTTATTTGGGTGAGCTGTGCTTGGTGTGCATCTGCTCTGCTCTTTCCTGACTTGATCTGATGACGTGCTGTTAGAAAAGTCTTCTCTAAACTTGAAAAAACTGTAGCAGTTACTGAATGGTAGCGAGGTTGATTTTGTAAGTTGTGATTTTCACAGCTGTCTGCCTAAAACTGTCCACTTTGCTTTTACTCTTGCTTTAAAGAACAAAAACCAGCAGACCAAAAAAGTCAGCAAGACACTGTCTTTCCCTCTTTCAAAGTCACCTAGGGAGTGAATATACAGAATATAGAGAAATCGTAGTGTAGTGGCTGTAGGAGTAAGTTGAAGAAAGCATGGTGAGGGTATTCCTCGTTAGTAGTTCTGATTTGTCATGTTCAGCTAAGCAGTTCATAGTCTGTCAGCTGCCTCCTGCCATGAAGGACTACCTGCTTAGGGAATTTACCATGAATGTTCCCAAGAGGAAAGCAAAGATCAACTACTATGCAAGCGGAAAATAAAGGGAGCCTAACCTAAAGTTATCACACACTTCCCAGATTTCCTGTGGAGTCTGAGCAGCTTTGACCCTACGCTGGATCCTCGTCCAGCTCCCATGTTTGAATCACTGCTGCCTGAGGCTCTTAGACTCCTGCTGCTATCCCACTGTAAGGAAAACTCAGACTTCCATAGATCTTTTTGGAGTGACTTATTGCTCAGCCTGCATCAAAATCCAGTTCTGGAGCTGTGTTTGGTACCAAAAAACAGCTTCTTCCATGTGAGAAGCAGATTTCATCCAGCTTCAATATGTTTTCTATGTTCATTTTCTGTGGAAAAAGCAGATAATGGTTCAGGGCCTATGACAGTGTCAGAGAGGGGTAGCCCTCACCAAATCCTAACCCTGCCAGTGTAAATTCTCTGGTGTTCCTTTCAGTGAAAACTTAGAGTCCAAAGGAGAGCTCTCTGGATAAAACTTTGCTACATCTGGTTCACATAGCAAAGTGTTGCAGTGTTTCCTACGCCCTCCTTTAAAACACGGAAGTGCAGAGAAAACTTGCTCGCCAAATAATCTCGGCATGAACTGTCGCTCAGGAGGAGCTGTGCTGCTTTGGCAGGAGGACATTCTGGCTTCCAAATTCCGCTTTTAGGTTGGCTGCAAATCCTGCTGACACAGCAAGACTACGCTATGTTCATACACACATTCCAGCTGTAAAGAGAGAGGGAGGTAAATGAGGACTGACAGTTGGAATCGGTGCATGTTTGACTAAAAGTATATTGTGCTCAGTGGCCGTAAAATTGGTTTTGGAAAGTGAAGACAAACCCCATTCTAGTTATTTCTACTGTTTAATTTCAGCATTTCTGTCTCTTTACATGTTGTCCTTCCAGACTGTCAGTCGTCACTTCAGGAATATTCCAGTGAATGAGAAGGAGACACTCGCATATTTCATCTACATGGTGAAGAACAACAAGAGCAGGCTGGACCAGAAATCAGAAGGAGGCAAGCAACTAGATTGAAGGTTAACAAGACTTGGAATAAGAGAGACCTTAAAGGAACATATGGTATTGTGTATTTTAGGTATATAAGAACTGTTAAAGTATATTGTAAATTTTTTTTTTAAATGCATTGTCTGGATGACAGAAAAAAATATTGACATTCTTATCAGGAGTATTTGAAAACATGTGCCCAACATGTTTCCGAAGACTTCTTCCCCTCATTTCAAAGTCACATTGGAATAAAGAAATGAGGATAATGGGGAAACCAAGTAAACCTGTAGGACTGTGGAATTTGTCAACTTGGTGTTTTAAACCATCTCTGGAAATCTGCATCTCAGTGCAATTCAGATCCCAGATGGAATTTTTTTCACTGAATTCAGACTGCATCACAAACCACCATGCAGTTTGTCTTGGTACAGGACTGGAAGAGCAGCAGAGATAAAATTCATTCTTGAGGTGCATGGGTCAGAAGTTTGTCTGAAGCTTGCTCCTCACCTACATATGCTCTGTCTTGCCTTGAGTCAGTGCTTCAAGTCCCAAACTTCTACAAATGCTCCAGCTCACCAGATCTACTCCAGTGAATGCTACTTGACTAGTCTGAAATTGATACATGTTTTTTACCATTTTTCCTCCTGACCCCATCTGACATGGATGCCAACCAACTCTCTGCAGTCTTTCTCATTTCTTTTATTTAACAGCTCACTAATTAAATTGTCTGTAAGAATTTTAAAACTTCTGCATTTCCTCAGAATGTGGTATTAAGGCAAACACAGCTTATTTGCTGGGTCTGATCATGTTGGTAGAAATGTTTGTTTAATTCACTTATACATATTTCAGTGATGGTAGGTGAAACAATGGCTTGAGACGTCAGTCTCTTAATTTCTGTGTCAGATCAGTATCAGTCACAAGTTTTGTGAGTTCTCTACTGAAGCTGTAGCAGGTGTCACAAAACTGCTGTGTGGATTCAGGGGCTCTGCAGTCTCTGTTTGGTATAAAGCAGAGTTATGGGTGAGGCACCATAACCAGGGCAGTGATCTGACTGGAGCATTTCGTGATGCACTTCATCTGTCTTTGCAACAGGCAAGAAGTATCGAAGCATTTGCCTTTCATGAGCATTACATGTGCTGTCATGAGAGCTGTGTGAGTGAGGGTGGCACCCTGGTGCTTCCTAACCGGGCACTGTAGGAGGAGATCACCCTGAATTTGTTATTTAAAACCAAGGTGTCCTTACAAATAACACAGTGGTTATTTTGGCAAAAGGAGCTTATAAAAGTATTGATCGTGACTGACTGTTCTCCAGTGACCTCAAATTCTCTTCAGGGGACCTCATGATTTAAAGCACCAGTATGTTTCTTTGCTGTCCTAACCAATGTCTCCATTCTGGTACAAGATGCCAAGACTCCACATAGAGAGGATGTTCTCAACAAGCCTTAAGCAACGAACTGAGCAGTAGAAAACTTCGGCTAGCATTTTGTAAATGGCAGGTTTTAATATTTCAGAACTGGATGGAGCTTTGTTGAAGAGCTAAACACACAGGTCATGGTCCCAGCTTAGTACTGGATTGTGTTTCATAAGGCATGAAGGGTTCACTTAGTGAAGCTCTTGTTGAAGCTCTCCCAGAGTCTCTTTAAAACTCAAGTCACAATTTAAAGCAAGTTGTTCACATCACTCTGAATTGTTTGCTAATACTCCAGAAACATGTTCAACAAATTTCAGTGTGTCTGAATCCTGTGTCATATGCAGAAATACTCTGTTATGGTACACGTCCCATTTGTGACGTGTGGGGAGTGTGATTGTTTCAGCATTTCCTTGTTCGATTCAATACGGAACATCAGACAAGAGAGGTTCAAGGAATGAGGAGAGAATGTCTTGTGTTGGTGTTTCATGAATGTTTAAAAATTTCCTAATTATGATGATCCTTTCCTTATTGAAAGGGTGGAGTAATTCCCACATCAGTCAACACAATCCGGCTTCTCTCATTCAGGACAGATCACTGAAAGGGTACATTCTCTGACTGCACGTTAGTCTGCAAAGTGCTCATGTCATCAGAGGATATTACCAAGGGAAAATGAGTTTCTGAGCTGAGAGGGTTATGCCTCACAGTGATTCTTCCCCTGTACTTGGCACTGGTGAGGCACCTCGAGTCCTGTGTCCAGTTCTGGGCCCCTCAATTCAGGAAGGACATTGAGGTGCTGGAGTGACTCCAGAGAAGGGCAGTGAAGCTGGTGAAGGATCTGGAGCACAAGTCCTGTGAGGAGCAGCCAGGCGAGCTGGTATTGTTTAGCCTGGAGAAGGGGAGGCTCAGGGGTGACCTCATCGCTCCCTGCAACTCCCTGACAGGAGGGTGTAGCCAGGTGGGGGTCAGCCTCTTCTCCCAGGCAACCAGCAACAGGACAAGGGGATGTGATCTTAAGCTGCATCAGGGGAAGTTTAGGTTGGACATTGGGAAGAAATTCTTCACAGAAGGGGTGATCAGACGTTGGAATGGGCTACCCAAGGAGGTGGTGCAGTCGCCATCCCTGGTGGTGGTTAAGGAAAGACTGGACTTGGCACTTAGTGCCATGTTCCAGTTGACGAGGTGGTGTTCGGTCATAGGTTGGACTCGATGATCTCAGAGGTCTTTTCCAACCTAATTGATTCTGTGATTCTAGACCAAAACTGTAAAAATGTAGTTTGTTTGGGATTTACTTTTTTTGTTGTTGTATTTTATTTTGTTTTATTTCTAAGAGTAAATAAATCTGTTGGGGTGCTTTAGTAGCCATCAGCAAAACGATTCTTTTCAAGGAAATATGGTGGCAGGTTCCATCTGTTCAGGTGTATTCACTGGAATGCTTTTGTGCAGAGGTGGTATCCAGGAAACTTTTTTTTTCTTTTTTTCCTGAAAATAGTCAATTGATGTGAAATGTGATCCTTGTTGGTTTCACTTCTAAAGCAATTATACTTTTTTGAAAAATATTCTTGGCGAAGTGTGATGATGAAGAGATGTTTACCAGCCATTAGCAGTTGTTTATAAGGTGGAAAGCTTGGAGGCAAGACACCAAAGAAACAGAAGAATCTTTGGCTGTCGGACCCCATGGCCTTATAAACCCCTTGCAAATGCCTTATTACCTTGTTCTCAACTTAGCTAGAGCAAAACGCCTTGAGCAACAGAAAGCCGATGTCTTGTTGGAAGGGGCAGCCACCTGATGGCTCCCATGCTATGAACTAAAACCACACGTCAATTCAGTAGCAATATCCATGTTCAGGGTGCCTGTGATTCTTGAAAAGCATTTAGTGTCTAATAACCAGAAAACGCAACAATGCAATTGTCGTTGTGTACAATACCGTGCTGTGTGTTCGATTCCTTATGCTGCATGCCAATTGAGAAGAAAAGACTTTCCAACTTTTTTTATTTGAAACTTCGAAGTAAATGTGTTTGAACCTCACACTTGTGAAGCCATGAGGTGGGACATTTTCTCAGCACTTTTAGATGGGACTTGTTGGAAAGGTGTAAGACCCAAATCGCTTTGGCTGGTATGATAAGATGATTTTTTTTTCCTTTTGCATTTTGCTTTTCACAGATGGGCCTTAAATTCTGTCTAGCTTTGAACCATGGAGCACAAGCCTTGGGGGCATGGAGGATGACCAGATGTCATCTTCTATTTATAATAGTGGAAGCTTATTTCTTACAAGCCTGCATAGGTGACATTCACCCTGGGGCAGAGGAATCATGTCTGAAGGTCTCCAGCCATTATATAGCCTAATGCCATTCCATAGCCTAGCTCAATTCTCATTGAAGAGCTGCATTAACCTAATTAGAGTTCTGACTAGATGCGAAGCCATTAGTATGCAATCCAAATAATGCAGAAACATCTCTTCTGGGGTTAATTTCATCCTGTATGCTGACCCTCTGCTCACTTCAAGGGAAGAAGAAGAAATCATTGCTGGTAGTTACAGGCTTGAGCTCAGCTCAAGGGAGTTGGAAGCATGCAAAGACTCAAGTTGTTGGCAACTTGATGGCTGAAAAGTGCAAATATATCCAAGGAGGCTGTGTTAGAATGCAGTTTTCAAAATTTCTGAATCTCAAAGGTTATTGTCTATCAACCTGAAGTACACAATTGCATTAAAAGGTAATGTTTCTTTTGCCAGGCACTTTAGATGCTCAGCCTGAAAAGAGCAGAGCGGGCAGGTTTGTACCACTTGTCCCCAGCATTTTGGGTCCCAGTTTTTCCTAGAAATGTGGTTGTAAATCACTAGATATCCCAGTGTGCAAGACTTGACCAAAACACATCAAGTCTGGCATTTCAAGTGAGTCTAAAGTGCAGGCTGGGTTCGGAGAGGCTTTGAATACAAGAGCTGAAATAATCCACAGTTAATGGGAGTTTGCGTGTGGGTCATGATGGCACAGAGAGTATGAAACAGGACATGGCCCACAGACTGAACAAAACACGCTTCCACAGGCAGCAGCGTGGAGGACGATTTGTTCTGCATCAGCTCTTGTGATGGATGTTTTATGGGAGGGGGAGGAGGGGGAGCTGTGCACTTTACATCTTTTGGTTGAGCCAAATGTAAATACCAATGGGAGATCTTCAGCAATAACTGCAGTAGGAGGGGAGGGTCTGCTGAGGGACTGTTTATTTAAGTTGGCAGATGGCGGTACTTCCCTAGAGCACTAGAGTCACTTTGCCTCTACAGTTTAGAAGAACGGGTAGTACAAGGTGGCCTCCCGTCCTGAAGGAGTCCCTGTACTGCCCAGATTATTGACTGAAGAGTCCCAAAGGTGAAGGAATGTTATTGATGCCTCACTCCTTGTGTCACTGATGTTCTTTAGCCATCTCTAGCTTATCGAGTTAGGGAGTTTTCACTTCCCACTTTAGAAGTGCAAATGAATTACTATGTAAGATATTCCTTGCACTTTTCACAGCTATCCCTTGACTTGCCTGTGAACACATCTGATTGGGATGAATTAAATGCTTGAAGAAAGTATGGGGAGAGGGGGAGGCTCCTACCTTAAACCTGAACTTCCCTTGCAAGCAGCTCTGCAGGCCATCCTGTACATCAGCAGGCTCCAGGAGCCTCTGAGCCCTAACAGGGCTGAGTTTACTCCTGTCCTACCCACAGCTCTGCTCCTCAGCTGGTTGGTGCAGGGGAGATGGGTAGCAGGTAACTTGCAGAATGGTTTGGAGTCTTTTGGCAGGCTTACTGGGAGAGAAAAACTGTGTTCCCTCTTCTGTTTCTGGCCTCCATGTGTTGTGCTGATCTTATGCCAAATGTTTTGGACACCCTGTATTTTTAACTGTGTAATATAGCTGTGTATTGTTAAAGCAACTTAGTAACTTATAGCAAAAGCTGTAGAACTCATTTCTCTGAGGTGTAGGAAATGTCCTGCTTCCACTGTGTATGAGACTTTAACTCTGTACTGTCTGACAAAGATAAGATGCTGAATTTCACTTTAATAAATGATCTATCTAGCAACAAGGCCTACATTCCCTTCTGTTTGCTGTCCTGCCCTTGGCACTGATGGCTCCAGAGCCAGTGTAGTTCTGCTTTGTATGGATGTTGGTTTTTTTTGTCAGACTTCTGAGATTCACCGTCTTTTCCCACCCACCTCCCCAGGGCTGAAAACTGCCAACAAAGAGCAGAGAATGGCACTGCTGACTGGGAATGCCAAGCCTGGAGCAGAAAATTCAGCTGATGAGATATTTTGTGACAAACCCATGTGGGTTGTACAGGTGCAATTCATGGAGTCTTTTGAATGCAACAAAAACACAACTCGCAAGAAGGATGGAGGTTGTTGAAGAACCACGTGACCTTGCATTTTGGAGTGTTGGGCCTTTCTATGATGGGGATCCTCCCCTCCAGTATCATTCCAGTCAATCAAGTGTGGCTTCTCATTTGATTCATGTTTCCTAATGAGTCTTCTTTATGTCTAGTTCAGCCCTGTGCTTCTGCTTGCTTCTCAAGCACAGCCTTGGCTTCGTTTTACACATGACTTATGGCTCATGTTGTCCAGAGTCAAAGCTGCATGTCCAGCTGATAAGGTGGGTGCTACACCAGAGCAGTGCTGACATGTAGCATCCCAGTGCTCAAGATCCTTTCCCATTAAGTGCTTTGTTTTATTTCTTTTCCCAAATTGTGGTTCCTCATGACCATCAGCCTTACAGATAAAGGTGCCTCACTTTTTTGCTGCAGTGAAGAAGTGAGTGATGCCAGAAACTTGAGTACTCATTCTGAACCCTGTCATGGTGTTTCCAAAAGCTGTGCTGGCACTGGCTTGAGTCATGCTTTACCCGTGATTTTTAGCCAGGAAAGAAGTAGGATAGCTTTTCAGACACTTGGGCTCTTACAGAGGAGGATGATTGAATGTTGAAAGCTTTATACCTAAAATACAAGGCCAGAATTTATCACTGTCAAATTAAATTGGACTCAGTGATCCTTGTGGATCCCTTCCAACTCCACATATTCTGTGATTCTGTGAAATTGCCTTGTTGATGTGCAGTAGAGATTTGCACAGATAATTCTCCCTGAAACAATCCCACAACATCTCCTGTATCCTTCCTTATACCTTGGTGGTGTCCTACAATCAGAAGACCTGTCTCCTTATTGTTGTTCAATGGGAATATGCCTATTTATACTGCTGTGGCCCTTGTAGGGGACACTTGCCCCCTCACTCCATCCTGCATCCCAGGGTAACTTGTGATAGAAATAAATGCTGCCAGTTAATCTGGTGTTTGCATAGGCCAACGAATAATGTGACTTAATCTCACCTTTGCTCCCTGCCAAGAGACCCACAGAAGAAGCTCAAAACCAAGGCAGAATCTGCTCAGTTTTTTTAACATAACCACACTGAGAAACTGAGGAACCAGCAGATTGGTATGGTGAGCTGAAAACTGCACATCCCTCTCTGCGCTGCCGGCTGCCGTGTGAGGGCAGTGTTAGCTCAGGAACACGGGAGGTGGGTGCTCGGCAGCTGCACCTCCGAGCCCGGGGCAGCTGCCGGGGGCACCAGGGCCGTGTCCCCATCCCAAAAATACCTCCTCGGCAGGAGCTGGCTGTGCTCGTCAGAGACCGGAAGCGAGATTATGCTGTGCTGGGATGTGGAGATCATAAAAATGGTTTGTTTGGGTTTGGGTTTTTTTTTTTTTCCCCTGGTTGGACGTTGAAATTGAACACGTCCGATCCTCTGCGTGAGCTGCCCTGCGGACTCCTCGCAGCCTTGATGGAAACCAGGCATCACTTGTGCTCTCCCCAGCAGAGAGGGCAGCACAGAGGACTGGGGAAAAATGTGAATGTGGATTTAATGGTTTTGTGTCTTAGAGATGTGGCTGAGCAGGAGGAGTGTGTGGGGGACAGCCTCAGGGTGTTGTTTTGTTTTTTCTTTTTCTTTTTTGTAATTTTTTTATTTCCCCTCTATCCAATAAGGGGTAACTGCACAGTTCCACGAACACTCAGTCTCTGCCAGGAGCTGGAGTCAATTTCCCACCTCTTACCCTTGCGGGCAGTGCTGTTTTCTTCTGTAAGTACTTCAAACACCCCCAGTGTGCTTTTACTTAATTTTTTGGGGAATATTCTGCAAGATCTGTTGCCTTTACATATTGCAGGAAGCACTACATGATCACCACAGCACCCTCAGCAGGGAACACTATGGTGCTGTGGGGAAGAGGGAAGTGTCAGGCAGCTGAGATGGCTCTGCTGCTTCTCCTACCGCAGGTATGGACTACCAGGGACCAGAGAGCACAGTGATGGGCATCCCATTAGCATCCCACTGGTCCAAAATGGGACTGTTGAGCTCTTCCTTGTCCAGTCCACCTTTCCAACAGAAACAAGTTGTTTAATTTTTTCCTGCAATTTCCACTTTACTGGCCATAAACCTTGACTCCCTTGTAAATGCAGAGCTCTTGGTTCGCTACTGCTGGCCTTGACTCACCTCAGCCCTCTCTGGCTCCCTTTTCCTGGGGGTGAAGAGCAGGTTGAAGGCCTTCACTGGCACAGTGGTAGCACTGGGTACTGACAAACTACAGTGCCGGGGAGATGCTGTCCCTCTTCAGGCTAATCCTTGTCTTCCTCCCTTCTCTCCTTTTCCTGATCCTATTTTCCCCACTCCTCTCAGCTGCTCATCTCTCCAAGTCCTTCATCTCTCCCCAAGGCAACAAAGGTATCCCCACAAGGGCCTTCCCACCTTTTTATGCCACAATCTGAGAAATCTAAAAGATCCTTAAGGGCACTGGGTATGGAATCGTGTGGGTTCAGCTCTGAGCAGCTGCCTTGGTTCCTGGGCATTTTGTCAGGTGAGTTGTTGAACACAGCAGCCCAGGCTCGAGTTGGAGCCAAGCTGATGAGTCCCAGTGCACAGCCTGCCCTCCTCCTCTCCATCAGCCAGCAGACCAAAGCAGCAGAAGCCAAACAGTGGAGGTGAGCAGAGGAGGGAATTTCAGAGTTGACACAAGCTTTGTGCACTAACTCAGACTCATAACTCCTTCCCACATCTCAGCTTGGGAAGGAGCTCCTGGCCAAGGCAATTAAACCAGCCTGCTCTGGTCCTCGCTTCCCCCTCAGCTGCTCCTGCGGGTCAGTCACAGGCCATGAGAATTTTGTCAAGGTAGTTCCAGTCTAAGGAAAAAAAACCCTTTTCCTCTCAATCCCTCAGCTTTCAGCCACGAGTGACGCCATAAATTCCCCTACTCTGGTTACTGTAAAGTCTTTCAGGGTGGTCAGGACCTGAATTCCTCATGCAAAAGAAGAAGCAGGGGAAGAGGAAACTGCAAGTAAGGGCCTTCCCCACCTCAGGGATCTGTCACAAGGACTCAGCAAGGCTCCAAGCGTGGTTTCTTGCTCTGCAGTCTCTCAGCTCAAGCCTCCTGGGTAACTGTCCCTCACTCCCCTCTCACCAGTGAACACCCTCCTCCCAGCCTGTGCTTCCCACTCATGCTCCAGCAGCTCCATCTGGCTCCTTGGCCCCTCTGATCTGCAGGTTTGTTATTGCACTTCAGCTTTGGAGTAACCAGGAGAGGCAGAGCTCGTCCAGCATCACAGAGCTGTGGGAATGGCACCGAGTCCTGCCCTGAGCTGTATGGCACTGGTGCTCCACCAGCTCCCAGCCAGCTTCCATCCTGGATCTCAAATCCAGCTGCTGTGTGAGACACAAGTGGGCCTCTGTGCCACCCCACACCACCCAGCTTCACCTGAGGGCTGTGCTGAGATGTCATGAGAGAAGATTAGTGAAAAATCAACAAAGTGTCAGCACTGCCAGAGAAGGTCCTTGCTAAGGCAATTGTCCACAGAGCAGGATGAGGACAGGTCATTCTGCAGAAAACCATGGTGACCATGGCTAACCCCACCCCAAGCATGTGAGTCTTGTGAAAGGAGAAAATACACACTTCTCACAACCCTCTGCACTGGGGGAAGGGCCTTCTTGGAATAAAGGAGCAATGCAGGTTGGCTTTGGAGAGGTAGAGACATGGGATGGATGATTAGTTTGTCCATTGTTTGAGGAACGGTCTTGGGGAAATTGTCTCAAGGTGCAGGGTTCTTGGTCTTTTCCCAGCACAGGACTGGAGACAGGACTGCAGCACAGGACAGCTGCATGGAAAAATATACCCTGGGCAGAGCTCAGTGCTCAGTCCCAAGCAGGTACTGCCATAGGGGTGAAAACCCAGTGAGTTTGGATTTGGTTTAGAAAATAAAATAAAAACAAGAAAGTAATAAAGTTAGAGTCTTCATCTGCCTTGTGGCTCCAGAGTCTTCCCATGCTTGGATATAATTTCTACAGCTATGGATTAGAAATGCATCTTCTCTTCAGATGAATCTCAGAATCACATGGTTCCAGGAGCACAGAGATTTGAGGAAGAGCTGTTGCATGTCATGAACTTTGCATTTGGGGGGGGGCCTCAGCTGGATAGAAAATCTTCCCACCTGAGCAGTGCTCCCAGGAGACAGTCTGACTTGGGAGCCGGCAACTGGGCTAAGAGGCTCCGAGTGTTGGGAGAGGATCAAAAAGCTCCCCTGGCAGTAAATCTTTCACCTGCCATGTGACTCACTGGGGTTTGTGGCCATTTCTCCGAGGTCGGCCCCGGGTCAGGATTTCTCCTGTCTCTTTAGCCCCCAAACCTGGAGATTTTTGTCTTATCTTTGACGCCATCTTGACACCGAAAACAAATTATGGCCCAATTCCCCTTACTGAGAGGGGCTGGGGCTACCTTAAGTGGCCTGAACTAGCAGGCGCTTCCTTAAGAGCGGTAATTAGTGGGGTGTGGGGTGGGGAGGGGGCAAGGACTGGGGGTACCCCTGACATGAGGCTGCCCTTGTTCCCCTGCTTGGCATGGCAGGAGAGCACATCCCACCGAGCCCCATCCTATCTTATCCCATCCCATCCTACTCACTCTGGCCCAGCCCTGCTGCATGCCTGGGCTCCAGACAGGCCAAGCAGAGGTGGGGCTCTCTGCTGCTCCCTGCCAGGGTGCTGTCCGGAGGGAGCTGCCCCTGTCCCACACCTCCCCCAGCCCTGTGTCACCGGCTGGGGCCAGCCCAGAGGGGCCCTCTGACGGGAGGCAGCAGTGCTGGCCCTGGCCGTGACCTTCGGAATGACCTCGAGTGAGTCCCTGCCAGGCTGGGGCCGGCTGTGCCTCTGAGCCCGAGCTGGGACATTTCTGTGCTCACCCCAAGGAAACAGCGAACAGCAGCATCACAACAGAACGGCCGTAAGACCGACCTGAAACTTTTTTAATCAGTTTTTCCTCCCATCTTTCAGGGTCATTACACCACGCTCTCCTCTGCTCTATGCCAGGGTTGTGCTGTCTGCCTGAACCCAGCAGCTCTTTTGGGGCTGGCAAATCCAGCTGGCAGCCTGGACCGTGCTCGTGGGTGAGCGGTTGGCTGGGGCTGGGTGTTTCTTCCCCCCTTCTTTCTTTTTCCCTTTTTTTTTTTTTTTGTCAGATTGGTATTTTATTTGGCTCCATCCTGTCTACCGAGCTGTCCAGTGTAACCCTTCCCTTGCTGCTTCTGAGATAAGAATAGGCTCCCCCGAGATCAGATAAACAGGCCCATAAATACCTACAACAACAAGAAGCAGGGTCTGGGCTTGGCAGAAAGGGAGGGGAAAAACAACAACAACAAAAAAAAAGGCAAAAAAGGAGCACACCAAACCCTAGGGGTGCAGAGCAAGAGGTAGGAAGTGCCCGACAACCCCTCTTCCCCCAGCCCTTGTCCCTTGGCCAGGGCAGGCACCAGAGTCCCCTCCACCGTCCCTCGCGGCTGGATTCCAGCGGCAGGGAACATGGCACGTATGATGCTGCCCCGGGCCAAGCGATCCCGGCGCGCGTGTGCTTCTGTCCAGGCAACTGCCGACTCCAGCCGGCGTGCCCGGAGCGAGCTGCTTCCCAACGGCATCAAGTTCACGGCAGGGTCGCGCTGTACGTGTGTGCAGGGCCACCTCCCCTGACCGATGAGCTAGGCACCTAAATAGCCAAAAATTCCAAGCTGGTGGCCAAACCGTTCTTCTTCCAGCCAGTTCTGGTGCAGGGAGCACCGGGAGCTCTGCCAGAGGCTGCCGAGACGCCGTTCCCAGCCGCTCAGGTTCGCTGCCGGAGGAAGGGAAGCTGCTCC